CATAATAAGAGATATTTTTTTATTTATTTTCTTATTGTTTGTGAAATAATTTTTGTATTTATATAATCATTGTGAATACAAACATTATACAATTGTTTGAGAACATTTAGCTTTTTAAAAGGAGGATATTGAATGAGTGTAGATTTAATACTTAACTTATTGAACGAGTTGAATTAAATCATATTATGCCAACCTCTATTGTTTTCTTTAACGAGTTCAATAATTTAGTATTGAATTTAAACGAATATAATATTTTATTTATCACAATCATATTTAAAATAAGAAATGATAACAGTTTAAAAGAAATATTTTTCGCTGATGCGTCTACAACGTAACGCTTAGTGTAGCGCGCTTTTATGGTGTTTGTATATAAAGCAATAATGAAAGACATCACGTCATAGTGTTAAATGGGTTTATTTCACCCCTGCGCTGTAGTTTATATATTTTAAAAAATATTTCAGATTTTGTAGATATAAAATGTTACTTTAATTACTATGTACTTTCAATGTGTTGTGTGTTTTTGCAAGTAATCTTGCATGTTGTTTTATTCTATGGCTTACAATTTTCAAATAACATTAATTAAGTAGACATGATAATATAAACTTAATATGTGTACCATATTTGAGAAATAATCAATTAGCATCTCCCACACAAGAAAGTGTTTTCATTTTTATCGTCTCGCCATTAAAGACTGAATAAAGCGTTAATGTAAAAAATTACTGATCAGTAATTATCTTTAAATTCGATCGAGGATTTGCAGTCAATTTTCTTTCTCAAAAACAAAACTATATGGGAATGCCATGTCGGAAGGGAAACAATTGTTTATATTATCTAAATTGCTCATTTATGACAATACAAAGTCAGTTCTTTTGAAAAAAAGTGAAAAAAAAAAAACAAATTGAAATTGAGATATACTTTACTCCGTTAGAGTTGCACTGCTTGTAGTTTACAAAAAACTGTGTTTGATTTAGTGAGTTAAAATAATAATTTAAAAAAAAACAAAAAAACATCTAAATTAAAATTATTATTAGTATTCTCATTGATCACATTTTTATCATAAATACATTATTATCATGATTAATATGTAATCATAATTTTATTCGTTTATCATTATAACATTATTATAATCATTGTCCATTACTATTGATATCATTATTATCATATTTTATTTTTTCCACATGTGTTCTGTCTATTTAGAGTGCTGAGGGATTTATCTAGTGTGAAATAGAAAAAGAATATAACCATATGAACACATATCATATTTAAACTTGAATAAATTATGCTGCTTTTGTACAATATACATAATTATGATTTAAAATCTTTTTAAAGTACAACATAAAAATCGACCGTCACATTGCCTTCTCTACAAAAAGGCTAATTATCAACAGAATATCATTTGTCTATAAATCTACAAAATTGTCAGATTTATATTATAGAAAAAGGTCACTTGTTACTTAGACATAATTTATACTTTCAGGGAAAGTCAAGAAATCCACTCATTTATTTGTTATCATAATTACTAGGTTCAGCATTTTTTGTGAGGGATTTTTTAATGATAAGGATATATGTTCGAGATATACAGTTAACAGTTCGAGATGTACAACATTTGTCATCCTGTAATGAGAAAATTTTAACATATGACTGTTATCTTGAGCTAGTGAACTTTATAAGAACATTATATTTTCAATGTATTTATTTCTACACAGTTTGTAAAACTTTAATACTTCGAATTGAAAAGTATTATAATATTGCCAAATAGTTCAATGATTTATGCATATGATCATTACAAAGCTAATAACACCGAATTTTCTAAATGAGTGTCATATTTTTAAACTTTATTAAAATTCTAACTATATTTTATACACGGTGATTAATCTTAATATTTTCCAGTTAATTATCGAACAGCATATAGCCGATAATCATGTATGGTTTTTGGTCGCAATTTATCAGATATAATTCTCATTTTAAAAAATGATCTGAGAAAAGTGATCATGTGCACGTTTGTATATATAACATGTATAAGAAAACTTTGTGATGTTTCTCTAAGTGTGCTGTTGTCGGTCTTTTTGATAATAAGAAAACACTAGTCACAGTGCAAGTGACAACTTTATTGCTTCCAATTCCGTTCTACTTATTTCTAGTCTCTGCTAGAATGTTCATACCATTTTATTAACGAAAAGATTCTAGTTGTCTCGAGAGATCATTTCAATATTTTGTTCAAAATCACATTATACTCATTTAGTTCTTTAAATATAATTTATTTCCTGGTATTTTTCATTTCAATGTGATGTAGAGTGTATCTAGAATAGCAATAAAACTGACTATTTCTCCCTTAATAGGTAACCTGATACTACATGCATGATGTTCAGGAAAAAGTCATACACTATTAGAAGCTGTTAAAGTGTATTCTTCATATTGAAATGTGGTTAAGTTTATCAAATTGGATATAATCTTTTTCGCCTTATTTCTATTTGTCACGATTTAATATCACTTCTTTTACTTTAAAATAATTTTATTTAATACTTTTTATCATATAAACCACAGCGCAGGGATATAATAACACATTTAAAGACAAAACACAATGTTACACTAGTGAAATACCACTTTAACGTGACGTTGTATGCGTTTCATCATTTCGTTAAATTGATTTATGTTGATAAAGTGCATATCTTATAAATTTAGCCCTATCAGTCACCGTCAGCTTTATCAGAAACCTCACCAATACGTATTAAAATAAAATGAAGAGAATGGAATATATTCACGTTTTACTAATTTGAAAATATATAACTGATAAACTGTCAAACGAATATAATTTTTGAATATTAAAGTCTCCTTACATTTGTCAAAAAAACCAACAAAAAAACAACAACAACAACATTTGGGACAATTTTATATAGATATGACCCTTGACATATCACTACGCGCGGCATGGATTTAGAAGGTTCGTGCCATTGAAATTTAAAGAGAGAAACGTATACTAAAATTCATAATAATATTATGATAAATAGAATACCGAACAAGTGTTAAATATAATAATAAAATCCTTCAGGCTTGTCACGAAAAAAAGAAATAATAATAATAAAAAAATGAAGAGCTCGGCAGAGACTCGCCCTTATTATTTTCTTTTCTTAGCCTTGATAAATTTTGTAATATCAGTCACTAGCATGTTATTTTCTCTATATAAACAAACAAAGCGATAAAGTGCGCTAAAGTTAGCGTTATACAACGAAAAATGACTCTTTCTACATGTAAGTATAAACCGTTCCAATTTAGATATTTGTTTAACAGGATAAATTATATTCATGTCGATTCAATACTAAATTTATTGATCTCGTTGAATAAAACAATATTGTGCTCGCCAAAGGTTCTCATATTATCAAAGTGACCCGACACAGTGTTGGGATAGTGTAAAAAAGTAATAGACAAAATATATAAATTGTTTCTTTTGGGTTTGTTTTACAGAATAATTGCGGGTTGATACAATGACATGGTTTGGAATTGCGTGTTTACACGTAGAAAATCAAAAGGGGTCAGGTTGCATGGTTGTGTCCGACCTAGCACAAATACGATATTCCATTCGAAATATCGATTTGTTGTTCCAAAACAGTTTAAGTTGGGACAATTATGTCATTGTCAACGGCTAGTGATGTCATTTAGCTGCAAATTGATATTGATATATATATATATGAATATGATTTACGTAAGAATGACTTTGCAATTTAGTCTTATACTGGACTAGTGGCATTCGGCCGATTTAGCGAGTTTAACCCTTTTCTATATATTATATATACAGTGTATATTTTTGTCTAGAATTACTTTTTTACACTATCCCAACATTGTGCCGGGTCCCTTTGCATAATTATTATGATGATATTCAACTCGTTTAATACATTAAGTATTATTAAAGCTACACTCATTCAATATCCCCTAACAATGTGTATTGTTATTGTTGCGCAGGTCAAACATATGAGTGCACGTTAGAATATTATATTGTTTAGTTAATGATGTCCATTGTTCTAAACATATAAAATACATAAACAATTGAAAAACCTAACATTTATCGATTTGCGTATCGGAAAGGAAAAAAAATATAGAAATTATCATAAATTAATATGTCGTGTAATTCTTAGCCGAGTTGAAGTTAATATAAAAATAGTATTCTGAACAACAAGAAGTGAACGAATGTTTTGAAAGTTTTAAACAAAAATTATTGGTGAAACTACAAATAAATAAAGTATCGTTTAAAAGTCTCGAGCACAATATTTCTAGTCCCGTTATGTATATAAATCTTTGTAGAGTCTTATTAAAACATAATTTTGAAATTAATCAACCATGTCTTCTAAAAATTGTTGAAATCGCATTGAATAGATCATACAACAGCAAACCATTACAATTAATATTCTTAACACTTTCTTTACATTTATGATTATTAATAAAACAGATGTACATAGAATAGTTATTACATGTATAAAGATATGACGAGTTTGTGAATGAACTTTTCTACTTTTGCCGTTTCTATTTTAAATGGCATAGAATTATACTTTTATGATTATCTTTTTCAGATGTTGTATAAATACGTCAAGCATTTACATTGGATGCGTACAAGGTGAAAAATTGGTCAGCCTTTAGTGCAACAAAACATCGTGTCAAAAGCATATGCTTTTTCAGAATATGCTCATAACGGAAATGTCTACACCCCTCCAGATGTAGTTGTAAGATATATTTGAAGAATGAATATTTTAACAAACTGTGATATCAAAATGAATCATTCACTGATGGAATGTGGCAGCAACTGTAATAGTTCCTCCGACATGAATAATTCGAATTTAACTGACCATTCTTGGTTTGAGGAACAATTTACTGGATATCCAGTTATATATCCTATTACAATATATCATTTGCACTCTATCATAGATTTTGGAAGAATCTGTCATATATTTTGGTACGTAATTGGTTACGTCGGAAACTTAATTTCATTAAGGATATGGACATTAGCTAGAATGAAACGTTTAAATTCCTCGGCAACATATCTTGCAGGCATAACAATATGTGATATTGTATACCAACTACTACACACGTTCTTTTACTTGAAATATTTCTGGGGATTGCCTGCAATTGGCCGTCAAGTTCTGTGTCAACTTTGGAACGTTCTTTACTTAATTCCACAATACGCCAGTCAATTGCTCGTGCTCGGATTTACAATGGAACGTTTCATTTCAATATATAAACCATTTCATGGTGAAAGGTTTAGCAAACGCCAAAGGGCTCCTAAAATTGTAATAATTATTACAGTGATTGTGGTTATTTTGGCAATGCCTCAGGCATATTTCTGGACAGTTGATGCAGACGGATTTTGTGAAATTGGCAGCGGCGACGAACTATTAGAAATATATACAATATGGTCGTTTGTTACCGAAAGTACTATATTCTTTGTTGTTCCAGCTCTTACACTTATTCTTAACATATTTGTGCTTCGTGAGACACATAAAGTTATAAATAGACACAGAAGTTTGAACTTTGAAACCAATGGACCTTCTCGAATACATAAATCGAGAAATTATAGACCAGCAACAAAAACCCTACTTTGTATTTCATTTTTCAGAATTCTAACACAGCTTCCCGTATCAATTACGTATACAATACAGAACCTTGACGCATTCAGCTTTGGTAAATTCATGCCATTAGAAGATATGAGGAACGATGCTCAATGGAGGATTTTTATTTCATATTGGGGAGCGAGGGTGTTTATAGAAACAATCGGTGCTTCTCATTTTGCTCTCAGTATTTTTATATTTTATGCTTCAACAAAGCAGTTCAGAAATGAAATAGGAAAAATACTTAACTTAATGAAATGTGGTGCCGGTAGACAGTCCGCTCAATGGAAACATAGACCAGGAAGATGTACTTCCTCCGATTTTGTGTATATGTCAAGCTTCTACAAGACCTCGGATCTTTCAGTAACTAACAATTCGTCTTAGTTCATTTACATTCACATCTGATCCGTAACATAAATATAAATATATGGACCGACTGTGTACTGAATCATTCAGATACACCAATATAGGTGTTTTAAAATTGATCGAATTCTTCTTCAATTCTGTGTTTAATATAACAACGGATATATTGTGATTATATAAGTTGATTCAGAAGACAAGATCTAACTTGATCTTACTTGAAATTTGCAAATGCACCAATATTGAAATGTGTGCTAAACAGGTTCAAAAATGTTATTACAAAATGTAAATAACAACAGTGATATAACAGTTACAAATATTAGTCGAAATTGATTTTTCTTTACATTTATACATTTGTTTGTACCTTAATCGTGTCATTAAATTTTATAAAGTAAAAGTTCGCTGCCTCTTTGATAAATAATTTGATTGAAATTCAGTGCAGTTTTATTCAGGTGACTAGTATCTCACATTGTTCTTAATTCATTATTAAACATAATAAAACACATGTAACCCACTGCTACAGAATGAAATCAGTTTATTTTAAGACTTAATGTGCCTTCCAACATAAATCAAATAAATAACAAGAGCACCGCAAGGCGGAGCATTATATGCCCGAAGGTGATTTCCTTCTTTTAGGTAAGGATGAAGCATTTTTAAACATTGGAACTAAATAAGTATTACCTCCCTCCTTTATAGCTGAAGCACCTTCATATATATATAAATATAGGTATTAAGACGTTAATACTTGGTTGCTACTCGCACATCTTTGGGCCATTATCGCATAATAGCGAGCAGCAACCAAGTATTAACCTCTAAATAACCCGCCTGAAAGATTTTGATTTAATTACATGTTTTGAATGTGTATGAAGTAGTAAAACAAGATAAATATAACATATCTTCTTGAAAATCATATTGATAATTCAATAGAAAAGTAAATATTTCTAAGTAATTGTAGACAAACTAAGCAAAATATATATATTTGCCTGCTATCCAAAAACTTCTAAATTTCTTTAACAGGGATTATAAAGGATAATTGATAGTAAATTAAACTTTTACTTGTTTATATTCAATTATAATGACTCCAATTTACTTCAATTGACACAAAACTCAATGAGTGTTTTTCGCCTTGTAGTGTTGCAAAGCAGTTTCGGGTTCCCATTTGTGATGATACAAATCATACGAATATATAAATATAGATGAAAGTTTATTAAAACAATGCTCAATCTATCCATTTACGAAGCTCTCTCGAATTTACGCCTATTTAGATGCGCGGTACAGGATATCAGACAGACCTTTGCTCTAATAAAAGCTGTGTTCGATTTATTATGCCCTGTGCCTTTTTCAATGTCATATGTGAACTTCACCTGCACTCTGCGCCTGGGATACCAACTTAGAATGAGCGGTTGACCATGTCAAAAATATATTAATATATAAGCTTAACACATGTTTTAATTAAGTTACAAGTCTTAGTCTTAAAACTAAAGAAGAAATTTCTAGTAACATTTGCAAAATAAAGCACAATTATTCAAATTTCTAATTTAAAGCCTTAGAAAATTGTAGCGCATGTATATAGACTAAGATGAAACATATAATCAGCCCCCCTGTCCTCTATTTCTCTATAACTTAAAATAAATTATAAATTATTTATCATTCATACATAGCATAGCTCGAATACGACTCATTTTCACTGATTAGTTTGAAATACAACGACTTATCACTGATCACTGGTCGCAAGGTAACTATGAGGTTTTTTGGTTACAATTATAATTCGTTCCATGTAATTTGATGTTTGAAAAATATCTTATGAATTACATTGAATGTAATTCGATTTGTGTCAAATTTTAATTGGTTATATCATTAGAAGTTATTCAAATTGGAAAGCAAGGGGTATGTCAATTTTGGTTTATGATTTTCTTGAATTGTTTAGCATTTTGATCTGCACATATCAGGTAAAATAAATCCATATGCGACCTTGAAAGTGATTTGAAGATAATTAAGCGAAATAAAATCAACATTTTAGTGGTAATTTAACAAGAAACAATTTCCCATTTAATTACAGGTAATTCAACACTTGTCTGTCATGGCTATGTATCCTAATAAATTTTAAGTAAAAAAGGTATATCACAATGTTGAATTCATGCCATTTCCGGAAACAAAATTATGGTGGGATTGTGTTTCAGTTTTACTAACTGATATCCCATAATCCATAAGGGTATCTTTTTGAAAAATTGCTGTTTTTTTACTTTGGTTTGTTTAATTTTAGCATGTACGAACGGAATAATAGTTGTTTCAATTCTCGTTATACCTCTGTACAACAACAATGTTTCATTGTCATTGATTGTACTAAAACAAGGAAATTCATTGTGCATTAACTGGATTTTATTCATCTAAATATCGTATTTTTATTATTTGTACTATATGTTTTTCTATTTATGTTCCCTCCGTTAATTCTATTGAAAGGGTCATATAGAAATATTATATATAGCAATTATCTCGGTCAATATATCATTCCGTGTGAGAGGAAAAGGTTTAATAGTTAATATTGAAAGGGTGTATCTAAAATCTATGATTATAATGAAAAAAAATATTGAAACCTTATCAATGTATAATGGTAAAATAGTTTCATCCAGATATTAACCGAAACGAAATTTAAGACAATTAATAAAGATACGCCTGCTGTATAACATGTAATAACAGTGTGATAATATATTATTATATATATTTCTTAATATTGTGATTTCGTTTCACTGAATAATTTTGTTCGGAGTCATAGGTTTCTGCCAATTATATGGAAGAACATATTGTCCAAAACCTTTATAATGACAGAAATACTATATACACGCATTGCCTCGCTGTGGGTACTCCTTAATATTAAAGAAACTATGATTGCTTGCTCGTTGTCATCATCAATAATCTTTACTGTTTATGTAAACAATTTTGTAAGATCATTCCAGCAATTCTTTTACCAAGTCTTTCTGGTACTCTGAGGTGAAGAAAAATGAAGAAATACACGTATATCAAGACCCGTACTTCCATTTGTAAGATATCGACGTTTTAAATAACTTTTGGTGAAATTGTTTGGAATATGATCGGACAGAATAAATAAATAAACTGAGTGCTAGTCATTCTAATAGATAGTGTCCAACGTATGTATCATTAAGGTACATAATTATATGAACTATTTTGAAAGAAAATAAATTGCAAAAAATGATTTTTATTAAATTGTTGTATCGTTGTAAAATATACATTTGATTTGAACCTGTTTTTTAACTTGAGACCATGTGCCACTTTTCATTGAATGGCACTAACATGTTACATTAAAGGTTCCATGACAACCTCCAAATGAGCTAAATCTGCGAATGTTTCAAAATTCAAAATTTAGCAGTTGATGTTAAATGTTAAACTTTGCTTAAGCCGGTGCTTTGGGGCATGAACGGTATTTTGCACTTTCCAGTACCATCTGTGATCAGTCTCAATCAAATCGAGCCTGCTATGTTTTCATTTTGTCGTGTTGGGCTTTCTTTAGGGATTCTGTTTTTCTCTATTTATCTCTTTAAATTGACCGTTACTAGGGACACATAATACGTATTATGACATATTTCTATCTACCAAAATAATCTTTTATCAAATTTTCTGAAAATACATTCAAGGATAGTCTAGATATAAACTCTCTTCTTTTTCTATACGCTGCAATTACTTTCTGTATAATCTACATCCCTGTTTGTCTTTTAAAAGAGGTGTTGCCGTCTGTGTTTTGACAAGGAGTGCCATTTTGTTCAAGATTGACTTATAACCGCCGTATGAACACATCTGTGGATGTTTCAAAATTTTACTATTTCATGTTTAAATGTTGAATTCTGCTTAAGCCGGTGCTAGGGGGCGTGGACGGTAACTTGCACTTTCCAGTACCGTCCATGAACAGGCTCAATCAAACCGAGCCTGCAACATTTTCAATTTTGCCGTGTTGGGCCTTCTTTAGGGATTCTGTATTTATCTATTTTAAGCATGCATATACACTTTCTTTCCTTTCGTCGGGATGGGTACTGTTTTCTGTTCTTATAATAACCTGTAATTACTTTATTTCTTACTTTCTGCATTGTGTTAAAAAGATATATTACTGCCTGTGTTTTTGGACAAAGACAATAATTATCATTTGTTTTCTATTATTTTTACTTTTGCAGATGTGACCGTTATCTGGAACACGAGAAGTTTATAGATAAAAAGATAAACTTAATTTTGAAGAATATCAATGATGTCAATCTATATTAAAATGATTATTCTGAACAAGTTAAGGACAATAAAACAGCTGATAAATTGATTAAAACGTTTACCGACGTTATAAATGTCGTTTGTAATTCGGTATCAATAAAGTAATGAAATTGTTTCAATCTGTTTGTAGAGTGTAATTTGTTACAATCCTCATATAGAATGTATGATGTCTTATATATCAATGATCAATGCTACATGTTAATAACTGGTAATTATCGCGTGTAAATTGTTGCTTAGGGAGTAATAAGACAAACACCAAACGATCGCTGAACTTGTTGGAGATGTATATCTCGAATATCATAACAACACATTAAGTAACTACTGAACTCTTCAAACATGATTCAACAAACACAATCTGTATCTGATTCTGTGATCTATGTTTCTAGTTTAGTTCTTACACAACATAAAAGAAATTAAACTTTAATAAATGAAATAAATGATTATGATAAATAAGAAAACTGGATTTAATAACCCTTTTCTAGAATATTTATTACTCTGATATAAATAAAGATGTCTCATAGGATTTTCTATGAAAAAAGATGAGAGAGATACTATAAAACATTTGATGCTATAAATAATACACTATTGCATAATTGTCCGAAGGTTAACGGCAAATAATTTATTTTCCTTTACATCAATTGTTCTAATGTAGATGTGTACATTAAGTATATTTCAGTGTACTGAATCAGTAGTAGAACAAGTTGGACAAATACTCATGTCAATTAATGAAAATAGATATCAAAATTGTGTTTGTAGTAAGGTCATTTGTTGACCGATTGATAACAGTGTAGCTTTCAAAGTAAACGTATTTGTTAGAGCAAATGTGCCACTGCACTTTTGACACTTTAATTTTTTCTTCTCATTAATTTCTTATCAATGACGTAGTTGGCATACGCTAGCACGATGTAGATGTTTTAAACGAAAACGAAATAAAAAAAAATCTAAAAAGTTGACAACATTTGTAAAAGTCAGTGCCTAGCCCTGTTACATTGTATGGGGTCGACGAGAGTTTTGACTTAAAAAAGAAAGATTAAACTAGAATTTTGCTAATATAAAATCATATTATAAGCGATTTTTGATGATCGAATTTTGTGTCGTATCTTTGCTGCAAGTTAAGAACAGCTAG